CTCTATTTGGAAAAAAAAAATAATTAATCAATTTCAAGAAGGAACTAATGTCATCGTTGTCTTCAAAATATTGCCACGTGTAAAATTTGAAATTTTTACAATTATTGCACACGTGCTGACTAATGAATGAACGATGAAAAAAAAAGGCCCATGCAATAAAGAAGAAAATAATGCGAATTATATACATTCAAAACAACAACAATGATGATGACAACTTAAGAATTACAGAAGCAATAAAATGTTCGCAGAATATTTCACGCTGATATATTACACTGTCAAACAATACATGGTTTATTATTTAATTTTTGTGTATTTGTTACAAGTACAGTGTATTTGAGCAAACTTTAAAATTTTTATAAGAGCTACAACCTGATTTAAAACTTTATAAGAACGTCATTGGAATTAACTAAAAGAGAAATCTCTTAGGCAGTTAAAAACACTATGCTCTCTAAATTGCTGCCCCTTATGTATGTTAATCTATGATCTCTGCTCTACAAGCTTTTTACCTTGTTCTCTGAGTGGCAGCTTACGATAGGTATTGTAACGTCCTCGTATTTGTTGGTTGACGTTAATCAGCAAGAAGCTGCTGTTACAGGTATCACATTATATGGATTTGAACAAGTTTACTCGCAATTATGGCACTTAGTATACTTTTAACTGCATCTGATGACTTTTCTCCCACAAGGTACCAATGCTGACATTCAACTCTAAATCATTCTTTTAATTTTAATTTATTCCCTATACAGAAAAGGTCAATAATTATTTTTATTTAATTATTTTGTAGAATATGTAGAACATTTTGTATAATAGGTTTCTCATAAAAGGAGATATTTTCGACGAATTTATAGTTTAAATAGGCAATCCAACTTCCTTATATATCTAAGTCATCAGTTCAAAAAAAAAAAATGGAACCCCTCTCCCAAACAATTACAAGAGACATTCCAAAGCCGATCCTCAATAAACTGCTATAGCGTTCAATTAGGACTTCCCAAGTTCTAAGGGTAATTATCACAAAGTACTGTAGAGTAGACCTTTTAAAAATTATATTCTTCTAATGTGTTATTTGTCTGAAATGTAAGTGATTTTATATAATTATATGCAAAGAAATTGAAGTTCGTTTTAGCAAACCCATGAAAGGGGTTAAAAAAGCTGGCATATACACAAGATATTCATATCTCTCTACAGCTGTTTTTTCCATTTATTCTAAATTTCCTTATCATTTACTCTTGAAACATATCACTTATGTTTCAATGTTTCTGAAAAATATTAAATGAAAATACCTATTTGTTCTTAAATGGTTTCCTAACACCAAGCGAGCATATTTTAATTTTTTCCCTTGTAAATTAAAATAAAGGGAATATTTAACAAAATACTTTTTATAAGGCAATTTTTTTTTACCAAAAATAATTGATTAGTGCTATTTCAAATATTAAAGAACTGGTTTAGGATTACTTGTTAGTTTGCTTTAAAATTATGAGACATTTTAAAATGTTTTTTTTCACACAAAATATATATTATCAATTTCTATAAAGCAATTTAATGAAATAACATGCTGATTAACTTAAAATTATTTTCCGTGCGCAACGTGGAAATTGGTACATTCAACTTTTAATTTTTAGTTTTTTTTTAAGATATAAATAATTTTAATTTTAAAATTTTAGTAAAGAAATGGATTAATTTTAAATTAATAATTTCATTTTTCGATATTCCAAACGAATTTTTGTAAATTGTTATATTATTTCAAAATATTTTCTTTTTATATGGTAGGCTATGTAAAAAAATTATATTCACGTGCTTGACTAATTCACCTAAATTTCAAGTAATATATAAAATTCAAATCAACAATTCAATTTTAAAAATCAATATAATAAATTGGTTAATGATCTCTGTATAAAAAATAAAATAATAATAAAATAAAAATCTAGAACATTGTTTGGCTTAACTAAAATAATGTAATAAGTCTAGCAACTTTGTTTTGTTAGTTGGCCATTTTTTTTATTTTCTATACCCAATTGGGAATTTTCCTATATAACAGCTCGTTGACGCTGTAGTAAATCCAAAATAATTAATAAAAGAGAGAGCAAAGTTAGAAACTCACATTTCATAATAAAGTATTTTCATACCCGGTTTCATATCACCAAAAAATAAATAAACAAAAAGTCAACAAACTTATCACCGTATATTGTTTATGCATTTCATTGAAAAAATTAATATATTTTTGACCTTATTAATATATTTACATAATCTATTTTTAAGAAGCTGTTGATGAAGACGGAATTTTAATGTCGCTATTGAATATTTTAATTCAATATGGCCGCCTAACGAACAAGTGAGTTCTATTTAAATTGTAAATACACATGCTTCGGAATGCCAAGTTCTGAAGAAAAACACTTTCACAAAACAAAAAAGATTCAAAGCCCGATGGAAGAAGGCGAGACGAACCGATCATCGCATTCAAAGAAGAAAAATAGTACCCATGTACATAGAAAACATAAAAAGAATTCGCATAAATCCCACAAGAAAAAACATTCAAAGGACCAGGTAAAATTGAATGCTGTAAAACCTCTTGTTGATTATGACAATGCAAGTAGTGATACATCAAGTGACAGTGAAGAAGCAAAGGTCAGTCCAAAGAGGGAAAAACCAAAAGATAAAAAATCCTCAAAAGATAAAAAAAAAGTTAGAAGAGAAAAGACTCCACCAATTGAACCAACAACAAAGAAGAATGAAAAACCGGTGCATCAAAAGAAGAAGAAGACTAGAAATAACAGAGAAACTCGAGATACTGGAGAATCATCTTTTAGACAAGTGTTAAACCGTCCTACAGACCAAAGAGAAAGGTTATATTTTAGAGAGAATTACAACAATTATAGTGCAAATCTTCTTACCTCTAGAATGAGCTCATTTGCAGAAATAGATTATTTAAATGATTTCGAAAGAGAGCGTTCATACAACAACATGAGATGGCGGGATGAAAGGACCAGAAGAAGATCCAGGTCACCTTTGGATGCACCAAGGGCCTACAGAAACAGGACTCCATCTCCAGTCAGCCCCCAGTATAGGTCAAGACACAGGTGGACCCCTGAAAGGGAAAGGAGACCATTTTCAAGAAGCCCTAGCCAAAAAAGACTACTACCATGGTCAAAAAGTACCAGTCGAAGTCCATTAAATAGGTAAGTACATTTCTAAATCATAAACATATGTAATAGTATTGTAAGCCTCCCACACATTTCTATCTTTTCAAGAATACCATAACAATAGTGTAACTCACTTATATTCTTCATTATAAAGAGGCATTCTTAATTTTAGGCTATAACATTATACTTTTATAATGTTTTCCTTATATACAAAACCTGTCCTGGTGTGAAACTAACACCTACTCTCATATTCTCATGCCCAGCAATGGCCGCAGCCTTGCAGAAAATTGACTTAAACCCAGAACAGCAGCTTTACACATCCAAGATAGAGAACATTACAACTACTGTGATAGAGATGTATGGAGACATCTGAGGCTCTTCTTTGGGCATAACAACAACATATACAAAACCTGACAATATATATTCTATACTATAAATATTTTATATGGAAGACATTAAAAGTAATAAGCATTTATTATCAGAAATTTTGTTCAAATATCAATTGGTATTATCTCAAATTGGTTCTATTTGAATGGCATTGCCCATTCACATAGCCTATATTTACTATAAAACTCACATATGTAATTAATTTCATGTTACTAGTTGCATAATTGGATACTTTGATCAAGGCCTCCATATTTGCACGCCTCTCTCCCACAATGTTCTATGCTTCAAATCTCCTCTTTCTTCCACATGTTGTAAAAATGGAACATGTTACCTCAATGTTTAAGTTGATAAGGCACAATTTGGATTATAGATTATAAAATAAGGTAATAAGACCAAATCCAAATATGTATACACACTATTTATTATTTTGATTTGGTCTTATTACCTTGTTCTATGTTTAAGGTTATTGTGTTTATACTATTTCTATATATTTTAGAGAAAGGGCTTTGTGTTATATAACTTATTTTCTAAGGTGGTATTACATAAGAAGCTAAATGTGCAGTAAATTTGTTCTCTATCCACCCCATGTGAAATGTCTGATGAGGACAGATTTTGCCAGTTAGAATGATGTCATGGTATTTTCATATTACCCAACTCATTGACACTCATTGAAAAAGCAAAAATGAGTCCCATTTATTAGTGTTTTTTTTTTTTATCCTTAGTACATGTGGTATAGGCCATGATAAACATGGAGGGTAGAAGTTGGTAACTGCTTTTTACTGTAACTGCTTTTTACTGTAAGTCCACCACATGTCTACTTTATGTGAAAAGCAATTTGACTTTTTGAACTTATAAGTGTGCCAGAGCCCCTTTTGGTTACTTGTACTCACTGGTGGTGTTGGACTTTATCAAGAATAAGGGACCATTGGAGCATTTTTTTTTTTAAATTAGAAAAAAGTTGTCCTATGCAGGATTTGATCCTGGGTAGTAGCGGATCCAAAGGTCTTTGATTTCCAGACTTAAGTCTGGTCATCTGCGGACAATGACTTTCCAGAATGGTTGCAAGGTTTTCCCACTATGTACCAAGTGCAATTCTCAGCCTGCAACCCCAAGACATATTATTGACTGTATTGACTCATCCATTGATGAGCTCTACTCTTCCCCAGAAGACACCATCAAAAATCTCAAGCTTTATAAGCTTGATACCTTAGTGTGATTGAGTGGAGATAAGAAAGAAGAAGAAGAGAAGCGGTTGAAAACCAACAGTTTAGACCACTCATCCCCCCACCAATTATTAATTAGTAGTGTTAGTTAACAAATATCTTTGATGTGAGAATACCACCTATGTAAATATGGAGGACACATGTCCAGCAACAAATTTCTTCATTTTACAATAAAAGGTGCCATGACCAGGATTCGAACCTGGGTTATTGCAGCCACAACACAATGTCCTAACCACTAGACGATCACAGCATGAGTAGAGTGGCGCAGTGGAAGCGTGTTGGGCCCAGAGGTCCGTGGATCAAAACCACACTCTGCTACTTTTTTACAATAAAATTATTCAATATAACGTAAAACCTTTATAATATGTTGAATTAGCGCTGCATCTGCTATAAGAAATAGAAGCTGTCTTTGACGCATATAAGATTCTTTTTGGAATAAAATAAATTTTTACTGCCCTAACTGCAAGGATATATTATTGGGAGGGCCTGGCTCATCATAGTGTGATGTTTCAGTAATGGAGTAATGTTGGTAACATACTATTTATATATATTTGGTCTTATTACCTTATGTTTAATCCAAATTGTTGCCATAAATCACAAAATAAAATTTCAGCCAAATCGTTCCAAATAAATCAAACTTCTATATATATATAAGCAGAATGATCCGATACAGTATTAGAGCTCTAAATAAGCGGTCTGGTCGATTAAATTGGCGAAACCGCTGGGAGGGTTCACCACTAATGAGCCAAGCTCTCCCAATATATTTTTTCATCGCAGTAAGAACAGTAGAAGTTCGTTTTATGTATAAAAGAAACATTCGCACTTTTAAATCCTTTTATTTTATATAGTGGATATTGCTGCTGCTGTGATGGAGATGCATGGAGACATCTGAGACTCTTCTTTGGACACGACAACAACAACATTTCATTGTATTTTTTGTTTCTTTCACTTGAACATGATGAATATATATATGATAAGGGTACAATTTGAATTATATACACTCATGGACAAAACTTGATTAAGTGGAAAGTCATTGATGTCACCGGTCATCTATTTTTTTTTTTAAGGAGACAGAGGTTGTTCACACTTGGTTATCTTGTGTGTCTTCAATAAAGGTCACTGTAATATCTTTCAGAGTATTGTCAGAATACAGATAGAGATGGTAAAAGGTACAACTTCCTTAAGTTTTGTCCATGAATGTATATTTATTTATTTATGCTTATGAGGTGATACAGCAGCGTATTTACAATTAGAGAGGAGACAAAATGAATTAAATCTAGAAAAAAGAAGTGAGGACATATCGGTCATTAAATTCTGAGAGGCAAGGCCTTCAGCCAGTTCAGGGCTTCCGGGGTGACAGAATGGAGATTGGAGATTCCTCCAGTGTATATTGGTTATCTGGTGTGTCTTCAATAAAGGTCACTGTAATATCTTTCAGAGTTATTGTTCCGATATACATGGTAAAAGGTACAACTTCCTTAAGTTTTGTCCATGAGTGTATATTGGTTATCTGGTGTGTCTTCAATAAAGGTCACTGTAATATCTTTCAGAGTTATTGTTCCGATATACATGGTAAAAGGTACAACTTAAGTTTTGTTCCTTAGTGTATTAAGAAACAAAAGGTAACAAGACCAAATTATTGAAATGTTCATGACATTTTGGTAACAGTGCAGTTCCTGAAAAGTCCCGAACCTTTCAATAATTCGGTCTTGTTACCTTCATCACTTTATATAATAGACAGCAAAAGAAGTTATTGTCATCTTCTTCTTCTTCTTTCTTATCTTCACTCAATCATATTAAGGTATCAAGCTTGTAAAGCTTGAGACCTGTTGGGTGAAGTAGAATGCTATCGTCATAATAGTGATAATCTTCATTTTATCTCAATACCAGTGGAAGTTCTGATCCATAGAAAAAAAAAAAAAAAAGGTTTGCCCATCACTATTTCAAACAGCAAGTGATGTTGTTATAGCTACTGTATTTCAGACAGGGGTATTGACTGAATGGATGGATGGATTGATTTGTCCCAGGATGGTAACAATGAAACTAGAATACTTGGCCAAATTGTACCTTACCCCAGCTGGGAATTCTATATACAGTTACGAGCGTCATTCTTCATCTCCTAATCATTTATCATCTCTGTCACCGTTTGCTTTTTTTTGGAATGGCGCCCTCCTATTGGTTGGCTACGATCACGCCACCTTTGCCCCCCCCATCATGCCCCCCCCACTCGCCTTTTCGTTTTTGTAACTATTGTGTTGGAGCGGGTCGCTCCTTAAATAAATGCATATATTAGTTAATAACTAAATGGAATCCTCTCTTTCTTTTTCCCAGTAAGAGACGCCTACGGAAGCCAACAGTACATAGACAGATAAAGCACATAGGCTATAGTTATTAACTAATATATGCATTTATTAAAGGCGCCAAATTTATAATTGTAACAAATAGTATTTGAATAAGAACATTCAATCGGGTAAAACACGGGCGTTGCCCGGGTCATTCGGCTAGTATAGAGAGATAAATCACCTTTTAACTGAGGACTCCTGGAAGTGTGAGGCAGAATTCAAATATCAAATAGGAACTTGTATGCTTTGTGGCAACACCATTGTTTCTCTTGTTAATTAAAATACTAAGTGAAATACACAGCGCATCATGTCTAGTTAATTTTTCTCACAGAGTACTTTAGCCTCAACAACAACGGTATTACCAAAACATTGGTTAACTCGTTCAATTTTTAAACACAAGGTAATAAGACCAAATCCAAATAAATAGTATGTGACGTTTCGGTAACAGCATTGTTACCATCTTCAGACAAAAGTACTGAATGTGTGAATTGTGTTTCTAATCCAAATTGTGCCTTATCATTCAAGTTTTTTTAATTTGTAAATCGTCAACCAACTAACTACATAGTTGTGGTAGGAAATTTCTGGCAATAAGATAGTAATTTATGAAAGAGGCATCTCCTTATCGTGCAACTGAAAGTTGCTGATAGCTTGCGCCATCTATCGGAATAAATATCAACTATTCTCGTTGATTCCGGCTAAATGAACTCAGTAGAATTTAGTTTAAATATATACGGATAAAATAATTACATGAGGAGCTTCTTTTTAGATTTATTGCGAGCTTTCGAACCTTTCGGTTCTTCTACAGGCATGGATAGCATGAATATACTAACAAGATTTATACGCGTTCGAGCCATTATATACATACATACACATTTACATACGAGGCAATAGTTACAAATATAATTAAGATAGAACTAAGAACTAGCTCGCAATAAAACTAAAAAGAAGCTCCTCATGTAATTATTTTATCTGTATATATTCTCGTTGACTTATAATATTTAATTAATAAGACTTGATAGTAACTCTGAGAACTTCTCCAGACCCCCCATGCAACCATGTGGAACCTTTTATAGGGCAAATCTCTCTCTGGAGCAAAACACCTTGGAGAATAAAGGAAGGGATAGAACAGGGTGAAATGATATTCCATGATGGCTGCTGTATCACCTGATCTCCACTATATTCTGATAAGGCAAAATTTGGACTATAGATTTGATCTACAAGGTAATAGGACCAAATAAATTGCCGTTATTTGGTGTCTTGTCCATTCTCCATGGAAAGGGGGGTTGCCATTTGGATTTGGTCTTATTACCTTATAATTCCACTCTATCCTATAAAGGTATGTAGGATTATTGTGTTAACCGTGTTTTTCTCTAATTTCAATTGCTGATAGGGTTTTACTTATCTCAAGTACATGCAGTTCTGATCATGATAAGCATGGTACGTCATTAGCAACTGCTTTTTACTCTATGTCTATTTACTACATGTTTTTACACATGTCTACACTTGTAAGTGTACCAGAACCTCGTTGGGTTATATGCACTCACTGGTGGGGTTGGGTTTTTCAAAAATTGTAGGGGGGGCATAGAAAAAAAATAATTTTCCAGAAAAAAAAAAAGTGCCCAATCCCGGGTCCTGGATATTTGAAGAGTTTATGCCACTCTTCCACCAGTCCCTCACTAGTTTCTCTTCCAGATAACCTCCTATGTATAGAACTTGAGTGTTTTGATGAATTGCATTTTAAGGCTGATGTTGAGATCACTTATCTATTGGCTGGCTGGAACACTGACATTCCCAACCTACTATTTAATCTGAGCATACACACGATAAGGCACAATTTGGATTATAGATTATAAACACAAGGTAATAAGACCAAATCCAATATTCAGCTCATAGGAAGAATAACTTCTTAGGTCCATTGAAGACTATAAAAATGATAAGGCACAATTTGGATTATAGATTACTAGCGGACGTACCTGGCTTCGCCCGGGTTTTACCCGAGTAAAGGTTTGTCTAACGAATCTCTCGATAAAGTGAACATTTTTCCCGGTCCCTCTAGAAATACTCGATAAGTTGAATAAAATCAATATTAATTGGTTCCCTCGGTAATTGGAAGTTAAAGGAATAGTATCTTGCCTTGGAATTGTATCATTATTCTTGTCTCAAATAAATTGCCGTGCCATCCTGAATTTTGTCTTTCCTAATTTTCTACATTACAAAATCATCGTATCATCATGATAATATTTAGAGCAGATTGTTGAATTATAACAGATAAATTAGAATATTTATCTTGATTATTTTTAGACGAAAAGTTATTTCAAAAATTTTATTTGCTAGAAACCTTCCCAGTTCTATACTAAATAACTTCCCAAAGTTTCATGGCGTTCCAATGAATGGTTTGGTCAGGCATAAAGGACAAACAGACACACATACATTCATTTTTATATATATAGATAAACACAATAGGTAATGGAAGTAAAATAAACTTGCTTATTCTGAAAACACAGTCCTGAGAAAGAGCTTGTACTGGAAAGCCCATTGTTCAATGAAGAAAGATTGCTAGTTCACCTCCACTATTTACTTGAGCTACAGGCTATGATAATTCAGCAGTACTTACTAAATACTTTGGTGTTGACATCAAATTGTCCTAGACAATTCCTGGTAGCAGTGATTGTTGTTGCAATATAATTATTATTCCTGACACGTGTGATATAATTTGTATTATAGATTATAAACACAAGGTAATAAGACCAAATCCAATGTTCAGCTCATAGGAAGAATAACTTCTTAGGTCCATTGAAGACTATAAAAATGATAAGGCACAATTTGGATTATAGATTATAAACACAAGGTAATAAGACCAAATCCAATGTTCAGCTCATAGGAAGAATAACTTCTTAGGTCCATTGAAGACTATAAAAATGATAAGGCACAATTTGGATTATAGATTATAAACACAAGGTAATAAGACCAAATCCA